TAAGCAGCTGCCTTGCTCCGGGTGGCTGCTTTGAAAACAGCCCAGACAGACCCCAATGCTGACAATGGGGCCATATTTTTAACAGTCGGAGACTTTCAGCTTCCTGCAGGGAGTTACCACTTGGCTACCTGATTCTGTCGTTTTCCAAATTAGAGAAAGGAAAAAATTTGGGAATGCTGCAAATAGTATTCTGAGTTGAATAGTCCCACTGTATGTAATGTAGCTTGTATTACTGTATATACTGTATCTTTCTTGTTTGATAGAGATAACTGCTTATAATTTTTAAGGTAAAACCATAGTCACTACTGTTACTGTAATCTTAATATAGTTCTCACATAGTTAATCTTAGCAGTTCAATCAGATTACAAGAAATGGAAACTAATAGAGAGGTTGATTGCCAGATTAAAACTGAAATGCCTAGAGCTCCTCTACTGCTACATTTTTATGGCTTGTAAACTCGCACCTGTCTCTGCTTGGTTACGGAGATACATCCTGGTTTCAGCTGGGATAGAGTTAATTTCCCTCCCAGTGGCTGCTGTGTTTTGGATTCAGTAGAAGAATGTCGGTAACATGGATGTTTTCAGTTGTTGCTAAGAAATCAAGGACTTTTTCCAGTTTCTCATATTCGGCTAACGAGCAGTGTGCAGGAGCTGGGAGGGAGCACAGTCAGGCAGCCAGCCCAAGCTGGCCAGGGGAAATATTCCATACAATAGATGTCATGCTCAGTTTATGAATGGGGGTTAGCTGGCAGGCAGGGAGCTCTCGGCTTTTCTTGTTTCTGTGGGTTCAAATCCTCTCTTGTCTGGGAGTTTGAACTTTTCCAGGAATTTTGTGAAATTCATTTTCTGGGGTTCTGTGATTGCTGCTCAGAGACTGGCTCTGAATTAGTCTCCAGGTGGTGAGAAAAATTGTACCATATATAGTTTGTTTGGGATATTCATTATTATCATTGTTGTTAATAGCATTATTAGTAGTACTGGTATTTCCTTTGTTGCCTTATTAAACTGCCTTTACCTCAACCCACGAGTTTTACCTTTTGTCCATTTCTCCTCCCCATCCCGCTGGGGTGCAGGAGAGGGAAGGTGGGCGAGCGGCTGTCTGGTGCTTGGTTGCTGGCTGCCAGGTTAAACTGTGACAAGATATCACTGTTACAGAAAAAAGTAGCCAAAATTTTAGAAGAGTCACTGTTTTTTGTTCTGGTATACTACTCATATATATATCTGTTTGTACAACTAACTTGCTTAGCATTAGTGGCCAACTTTACTGATGCCTTAGGCCACATGCTGTGACTCTGCCACCTGAATACCATGAACTTTCGTTGCCAAGTTCAGTGAAGGAGGGTCCCAACGACTCAGTTGCAACTAGAAGATGAGGAAGTGGTCCATTGACAGCAGCAGGGCCTCTTTGAAGATAAGGGAAGAATCTTCAGCCTGCCCAAAGACAATGGAGGGCCCCAATGAGTGACAGGCCCTAATAACACCGTTCAATCAGCTGCCACTTGGAGAACTTGTGTGGGGCAGGAACTGAGATTGTAAGGGTAGAATTGCCCAGGGATTTCTTTGTTCCAGGTCCCTCTCCAGAGGCACCCAGCTTGAGCTGTTCTACACTGCTGTGCCACTCAGTAAATTCATCTGGCGCAAGTCGTGTTGGAGACTCTGGTTCAGGAAACCTAGGGTCGAGCCTGAGGGATGAGGAAGCACCTGAGACTGAGTGTGTGTGTGGGGAGTCGAAAAGGGACACCCATCGGCTCACTGCGAAGGGACCCCCGGTCCCAGCAGTTAAAGTCTCGGGTGGTGGGTGTGCAGCTCCTTGAGTTATGGGTGAATGCTCGGGCAGCAGCTTCTCCCTTAACAACCTCGAGAGCAGTGTTCCCCCTAGTTTTCTTGAAGACAGCACACCATTTACATTAGTGTTCTTTGCCAGGTGAACAGTGACGTCCCGTTGTCTCTAAATATTTGCGCTGTTCAGTGTGATTCTTTTACAGCATAACCAGCAGTACGCCTCCCTGCCACTTTTTATCTGCGTGGTTAAACAGAATTGGTTTACTGCAGTTTGTCTAAACGCCTGCAGTACAGTTCTTGGCACGTGGCAAGTAGCTGTGTGAAACATGGTTATCAAAACCAAGAGTAAGAGAGAAAGCTCTGGAAGCAAGTAAAGGATTAGAAGTTGATCAACTTGATGTAAGAAAAATGACAGAGCCATCTTTCAATTGTTATTATTCCACAAGAAGCTCTCCTTCTGTAAAAAGTCAGCTGTTATGCACTGTTTAGCTGTCTTTCCAACCACAGCACATTGCATCTAAACGACCTAATCCACTTGCTGTTTACAAAGAACATTGTATGTGAAGGCCAGGATTTATAAATATGTGAGTATTGGCGGACCCTTGTATTAATCCAGAAGTTTACCTAGACCAACATCTTCAAACGATGCAGCCTTCACAGAATTTAGGTTGAAATTCAATTACTTGAAATGGACGCAACTCCAAAAAAGACTACTGAAATTGTAAATACAAAGTGCTTGAAATAACAGCTTTTTAAAAAATTACTTCCTGCCTTACAAAGAACTAAACTTACAGCTAAATCTTAGCATTAAGATGAGCTCATTAGGCAAACACCTCCCTTTCCTACATATAACTGGAGAGAGGAGCAGCAGACCTTTTTCTTGTTCATTCACTTTTAAGATAAAAATTAATTTTCAGTGTTAGACTCGTTCTTAGCTTCTGAAGAGTGAAAAAAAGCAGTGATATGATCTGCATGCTCTGGGGAGTTTGAGTTTTACAGTTGTTTTTAGTCATATGAAAGTGATGACTAATATTTGCAGTTCTGTCTTCAAAACAGGTCTTTTGATGCACTAGAATGTCATTTTGGTATTTTTCGACATATAGCGCGCTAATGTTGTGTATAAATTTATGAGTAAGATTTTTTTTTTTTTGTACTTGGGTCCAATATTTAGCAAGCAGGACTAAATGCATTGTTAAAGTTCAGAAGAGATGCTGGCATGAGGAAAACTATTTAAAGGTTATCACGTTATCAACTTCATGAGTCTCCCTCTACAGTACCAGCTTCTACCGAGAAGGCATTTTGTGCTAATTTAAGAAAGCCTCAGAACTACTGAAAAGAAAACTGCTGACCTGTAGCAGGCAAACTTATTTCATCTATAATACATAAAAGATCAGAATTTCCTTTTGCAGAAACTGTGCTGAGTACACAACTGGGAATCAAGTATTAGCTGATTAATGTGTTGTTAAAAGACAACTTAAACTTCCAAAAGTAGTTTAATTAGAGATTAAAATTATAAGGCTGCATAAAAAGCACAGCAGTTATCCTGAATTTAAAAGATGTTTAGAAAGACAGACATGAAATTAATGCAATTTCCCTCATAGCAAAACCTTGAGATTCTGAAGAATAATTTATATTTTACTCGTTAGTTCATCGTATCTTTGGCCAGAAAACCTGTTGCTACAACTAAGCAAAGTGTCAGACGCCAAGATTCACCTGAGACATGGCCAGGGAAATTAAAAAGTGGATAGACAGTGGCTAATACAACCGATTTGTCAAAGATATTTCAGACACAAAGATAATAGCTTTTAACATTTTCTGTCTGTCTCAGAAGCACTGGATTTAACTGATCTCAACATCACTTGAGAGTACAATAGTTATTGAAAAGAACTTGGAAAACACCTTCATATTTAAGAATAATGTTTAACCATTGGAGATTAGGGTGAACATTATGGGGGAAATGCATGCAGTTTTGCAGCAAGGCGTGATGGAAAAAGCTGATACTAGCTAGCAATCGGAGTCAGCATACCAGAGAGACACCTTGGGTATGTCACTCTCCTCAGCAAACCATAAACTTGTAAAAGAAGCAAATTTATCTTAACTGGTGTATCTTTGTAAAGTTTTCTCACTTCAATAATTTTTGCAGCAGGAACTGCACTACAGGTGCAAGGGGCAAAACGCTACCAACAGATCCAGGTTTGCAGTAGGTGCTAGAGGAAAATAATGCTGCGATTGCAAAGCTAAGGGAATATTTTGGCAGTTTCTAATTTGTCACAATAATTTATTGCTAACTTGTTTTCTGTATTAATACCAAAATACAGTGACACTTCAAATTCTCTAGAGCAATATATTAAAAATTGCACTTTTAAACTGGAACATTTGTCAAATCTAACAGATTGAATAACTGACATTTTCCAACTATAACCTCTGAAATACTGAAGTGCAAACAAGCTTACTTCAGCATAATTCTATATCCAAACTTCAAAAATGGTCTCTGACATTTTTCAAAATGTAAACTTTTTTCAGTACCAAGGAAGTTTGTATTTCTGATGACTTTTTTTTTTTTTGAGAAGAGCTTAAACCTTCATCGGCATTTTTGTATGAGCTCTAAGTCACACCTGACTGTGTGGAAAACAAGCTACTTGTTATCGATGTTTTCAATGTGAATCTTAAGCAGCAAAGACCTCTTAACATGAGCCTCCTGAGTTTTAATGTATCGAGATGGTGATACATTACACATGTATGTGATACATATATATAATAATATATATATAATATGTGTATATATACAAAATAAACACACCCCATGTATATATAAATATTTATACAGTGAACCTACTAGGGCCAAAAATCTTTTGCAGCTATTGCAGCCAGTTAAGGTACAAGCACAATCATCAGGATTCACCAACCAAGTACTGGATATGCCAAACATTAAAATAAAGTCTGACAATAGGTGTGCTTTTACTATTCTCATTTTTAATAGTGCAAAAAAAAAAAAAAGTCAGTAGTTTACTATTTTAAGATATTCCTAATTCTAAAAATACTTCTATTTGCAACCAAAAAAATGCAGTAGCTGTTGCAAAAATGTCAGGAAAAATATTTGAGGCCAAATAAATTACTGTAATTGAGTTTCACGAAAACATTATAAAACTGTTAGTCCTTTATACAACCTTAAGAAAAAAAAGCTTTAAAAAGATCTTTTCCCCTTGTAGAAGGGCATGTTGGCAGTGTGTATAAAGCAAATACAGTAAGTCCATTTGGAGCTCAAGCTGTACAGAAGTCAATATGTGCTAACAGTTCTCTATGCTGGCTTGTTGGATACTGCACTTTACATCTGGGACACTCGAGAAAACTTTCATCAAGAAGGCTTGAATGTTTCAGGGGAGGACTTCTGTCATACGTGGTCAGCTTCTCTTCAAACGCAGCTTCCAAATCTTCTTCCGGTTCCATACGTCCAGATTCCTGGAGTTTCTGGAAAAGGACGTGTTAGTGCAGGACTGAGGCATGCATGCACGGATTAAGTACTGTAGGAAGGAGGTCTGATGGCAAACAAGCGTTGTGTGTGTTACGGTACTAAAGGTGGAATGCTAGAGATGGCTAAATGCAGTTATGCTCCTCGTGTTGATAGCAGAGGGCCTGTTGTACAATTCTAATACTACATTTAAATTAAACTGTGGGTAGCTTTTCTGCAGACTTTGCCAGGTTTCTCCAATGTCTGACTGGGAATCCATCCCCAACCATCCTCCTAGCCACTCACACACTATCCTTCTGCAATAAAATTATGCCTCAGTCCCCTCTATGTAGGGTACTGCCTAGTTACCTTCTCAAAAACTCTGCCATGACTTTCTCTTCTCCTCCTGATGCCATGCGTGAAGTTTCTATGTGTGAAGGCTGTCCCTAACTGTGAAATGCACCCGGCTGTCTATTTGACTGCTACTCCTCCTGAGCGCAGAGAAAGTCAAAGCTGTAACCCACCTGCTCTGCCCAAACTTCTGCTCTGCTCCCAGCAGCAGCAGGTTTTCCAGCGGCCTCCTCTGGCAGCAGCAGTAACTGCAAGCCTAGCAATCGAGGCTCTCCCAGTGGCAACACAACAGTGAAGAACCTCGGTATCTCTGAATTCATTCCATTCCCTTCCTCATTTGAGAAAATACTTCCAAGTTGCATACAACTAAAAGGGAGAGCAGTCTGCCAGAGTCACAGAAGAATTCCTCTCATCCACAGCTTGTCAGGAGCTTTTGCATTTGCCTTCTCTGTAAAAAGCACAGCAGCCCCAGACCTGATCTAATGAAGGACATGGGTATCCAATTTGCATTTTGAACTTCATTTAAAGTAAGTTATTTAATTAAATTTTAAGTAAATTTAATGCAGTTTTGACAATCCTATTCAGCTATCACCTAATCTTACAAGATACCTTATTGTAGAGTTCCAGAAGCACCAACAGTCAAAATGCATTTCTGCTCAAGACCAGGGGAATCCTGGATACAACAGAGCAAAACAGATCAACGGCTTGCTTAATGCTTAATCCTTCCCTAGAAAATTCTCCATTAAGTCTAGGGCTCAAATCTAGGTGGCTTTCTTTGGGCTTATGTAATACACAGCAAACAGACCACGGCCCTCACAATACAACAAATGTCCTTTTTCATAATAGGGAGTTCATCTTTTTGGAAATGAAAAGCCCAGGTTTTAATGACCATCCTGCATCAGATGGAGGCGGGGGAGGAATTCAACTTCAGTATTTAAGGACTGTGTCCTGTTCACCAGCAGCAAGTCTGAGTAGAGGCATACTGCAGCTTTGTCATTGTGCAACAGACAAAACTAGATACACATCTGAGATAAATACAGTTATGTTCCATGCTCAGCAACCCGACTCTTCTCGATCTCCTGCAGTACTACTACTCTGTGCGTGCTGTAGAGAAAAGTGATGCCTAGCTAGTTGACATAGGCTTCCGCACCTTGGGGCCACACACCTGAGGGATGCAAGGGCCTACAGTGAATACCTGATGACATTAACAGAAGACTCACTATGCTTGAAATAAGACCTGAAAGTGAGAAGATGTACATTTATGCAAAATCCCTCACTAAATTCACGTGCAAGTTATTCAGTACATACCAGAGGTTCCAGACGGGTTATTTGCTCCCTGGCCTTGCGCAGTTCCATAAGGACTTTGTTTAACTGATGCTGCAAGTTCTGGCGATCAAGCTTTTCATTCTCAAAGTCTGTGGTGCATATCTGGATCTGGCAATGTCCCAAAGGGAAAATTAAAGAATTAAAGTCAGAATTATTAAGAATTGAGGGGGGAGAGAGAGGGAGAGAAAAGTTTCCCCTTTAAATATATGAAGTTTTACTCTGCTATCATATCCTGAAATGATATTAAAAAAAAAAAAAGAAAGAAAAAAAAATCACTTGTTGCTTTCACTACAGTGAAATTCATACATGCCTAATTATGAAAATCTTCTCCCTTAGTACAAGTAGAGTTTGAAGTTATTTTGGTTGGAGGGTATTTCAAGCTGTCTTGCAGTCTTAAACTGAATATTTTATAGGAAAGAATATAGTGCAAGTTCTCATTAAAGTGCCAGTTTCTACTCCAGGATCTTTCTTGTAGCAAGACAGTTTAGACAGAAGCTATGGGTAACATTGTACACCCAAGCTTAGAAAGTAAATGTAACTTTTTTTCCAAATAACATCATCTAGATCTGTAGGAATGTATTTGGAAAAAATAAAGAAGATACAAATAATTGCATTGCCATCTTTTCTATAACTTTATCAAGAGTATATTACAAAACTTCAATGAGCTGATCGGTTTTAGGAGGTTTCCCATACCTAATGTGGGGCTGTACAGCTGAACAAGTGATTGTGGAGAAAACAGCACCAGGTTTGATCACATCCTCTTATCTGTAAAAGGTTACAGATCTTCCTCGACAGACATGTCAATTTTTAGAAGCATCAAGAGATTATTCACCAGTTGAATATTCATGTCTAATATTACTTTATTTAACTTCATTTATTCTTAAATTTGAAAAGCTAGTCTAGGAAGCCTTTGTCTGTAATACAGATTAAGTATCAGCATCTTGGCATATAATTCGTTACCTGTTGTTCCAACAAAGCTATCCTAGTGTGTTCCTCCTGCTGTTTGCGCAACGATTTACGAAGAAGTTGCACCTACAAGGTAGAAAAACATTTTTAATAAAAAGCTTCCACATACAACAGTTAACAAGATTAACAAATAACGAACTTAAAGAGGGATGGATGTATATTCGAACACCAACAGAAAAATGTGTGCCTGTTATGCAACAGCCAAACCCAATTCACATATCTCTACTTCTCTGGGGAAAACCCCAAGGAAACATTAGCATTGTATTGAAAAGAGGAAATGCTGGATGATGTTATCATTAAAAAAAAAAAAAAAATTAAACAACTTTCCTAGGTGATTGCTTGGATGCAGACAAAAATCTACACACAAAATCTACGGCTGCACTAACATGCCATGATGTTAAAACAAACAAGCAATGCAACTTTTTTTTTTTTAAAATAGAAAATTTAAGACTCAGAAAGTACTATACTATAATGGATTAAGTAAACATAAAAAAGTAGAAAGATCCTCCATTACCAGCATGTATCAACTTTTATAATGAATGCTGTTGTTCAGCTGCAAAAAAAAAAAATCAACACCTTCTAATCATTATTAACCAGTGAGAACCAGCATGTGTTTAGAGAGCTAAACTGCTTCTTGTTCTGGTTTTAGCCTACTTTGGTGTCCAGTAAATTTTATTCTCCTTATTTTAATTTTCAGTTCTACAATGCCTTGTTATTGACCACAAACTTCTCCAAGTAGCAAGTCTCTCTTATTCGGATGCCCTGAGGACAGTCCTTCAGGGACAACTTTCCAGTTTGTCTTCAGCAAATATGTGATCATGATTTCATGTCCAGAAGAAAAAACAGATTTTTTTATTAGCGTCACCATGCTGATAGGAATATACGAAGACACCACTGTAACTCTCCATGTAGAGGAAGTAGCAAAGTCCTCATGAGTATTCCAAACAAAAGGAGGTAAGCACTGAATATTATTAAATACCAACATATAGCACATATGTGTCTGCGCCTGCCTTTGATCAGCCAAAGTGGTTAAAGTAATGGGTGCAAAAAAAGAAGGAATGAAGAATTAAGAACTTCACATATCAACTGAATTATTTCATTGAAGTCATCACGGTACTCTGTGGGAGATGGGCAAGCCCTGCGAACAATTAGAATCTGATGCAAAGGCAACAGGACAGATCTGACAACAGCATAAACCGCACATATTGAGCAGCCCGCCTGACAGGCGCTTCTTAGGCTCTACGGGGAATTACAGAACACTTCTGCGTGGTTTCTGCCATAGCCATCTTCAAGACAGTGACAATGTAAGGTCCGTCCCTTCCCCTGCTATCTGGCCATTGCTTTCTCATACTCAGGTGTGCCTGCATAGTTCTTATCCGTGGCATCACACGGAGAACCAAATGCAGGAACCCATCTGAATGGAAAACAAACAAACAAACCCCAGCTGCACGGCCCTCACGGCCGGCGGAGGGGCCACTATCCGGGGGCACAACTGCTTACCCAGTGAGTGAGAAACTACAAGCCCACTTGTGTGTTTGTAGCAACCAGGTGACAGCAAATGTCAGCAATATTCCATAGCTAGGACCACATGACAAAATAGCCTGTATGGACTTGAATATTCACCTTTCCTGTTCTCATTTACTATTAACCTTGAGGATGAACTAGATTGGACTCCATTAAGTATTCTCTCACTTGTCCCTCTTGTCCCACAAGATCAGGGAAATAAGTGAACAAAAAAGTTCCTTGTTTAAACAAGGAAATTTCACGTAAGTTTGGATTTTGATTCAAAACAATATATTAAAGAAAGAATTCAGTTCTAACCACAGGGACATGAGCCCAGACATACATAAAGAACAGTTACCAGAGCAAGTGAGTGATGGTCCATTCTGATTAATTATGACTTTTCAGTTCTCTTGATTCTTTGCTAATGATCTTAAAACTCCAAATACATCCACTTACCTGACATAAAAGGTCTTCAGACTTCTTCTTTTCTTCTCTGAGCTGTCCTTTAATACTTTCGTTTTCTTGTTTTAGTCTCTGCACCTTCTCTCCTTTCATTTTATTTTCATTTTCTAAAGTCTTCATTTCAGCAACCTGCTGCAACTGCAATAAGGCATTTAAACTCATTACTTCTTGTTGTGTTTCTTCGTACTTCTTTTTGAATTCGTTAAGTTCAGATTTCAGCTGGGTTATAGTGTGTCTTTCAGTCTCAAGATCACTCTTCGCAGTTAGTAACAGCTGGTCATAGTATTTTTGTTTTTCTTCTTGTAGTTGACCTTAAAGAGTCAGAAATAATTGAGATAGTAATGTGGGGGGAAAAAAATCATTTAAAACTCAGAACACCAAATCTTTGACAGCAATTTAAGGCATAATGATAGAAGTTGACATTCTAGGCTATTACACAGCTCAGATTGGCACCAGGCTTTACTTAAAACAGCTTTCAATACTTCTAATGCAGTAAAGTCTCCTTACCAATGTAGTTACTGGAAAACTACAACTTGGCTTGCGTATAGCATTCTGTGCTACAGCCACTTCCTTCACTAACCCTTACAGCAATATCATGTCCTTTGTCCCAGTGACACAAGCTCCATGGCCCACGCATAGTTCTTATATGGCCTTGTGCATTGTACTGACACATGGGAATCAAAGCCCAAAGACACTACGTTCTTACCTCCAGATTCAGGCTCCTCAGCCAAGGTTCTGCCATTACTCCCTCCCCAGAGGTACCCAGAGGTACTCTGGGGAGCCCGATGGGCTCTACTCCGCCACTGCTGACCATTTACTTCTAAATTGCAGTTCAAAGGGACTGGGGGGGGGTTTGATAAAAAAATGCCTACTTCTTGGCTAGTGATTGTTACTTAAACCAGAGCTTGAAAAATTTCTGCTTGTCAACCCAAAAAAAGTTTACTACGTGGAAAAAAAAAAGGGGGGGGATAGTCTGTAGAAATTCAGTAGTAACAGAAAATATAACTAGAAGCAGAACAATGAATGCAGAATTTCACAGGCTTTGCTGATTTTTGGCACTGTAAATTTCTTGACTTTGATACTTTTCCTGTTGCAGGCTTCCCCTCATTCTTCCAAATGCAATTTACTACAGAAAGTTGTTTGCTTAACTCTTCTCCCTCCTCTCAACTATGAGCTAAGCCTTACCTTCTCGTTAGCAATACTCCTTTATAAGGTGGTGAGATCTTCAGAGATACCAAGTTCTTCCTTGGAAAAAGCTGTCACACCTAATTTCAACTTGTATAGCTAGGTTCTTAGAAACTTGGATCTCTGCTACTGTCTAGCTGCTTCAAGAGGGGAACTTTCTTATACCCTGGCTCCTAGTCTCCTGGCTGCTCTGACAACAAAGCCTTGACTGCCGTTACATTTCCTGGTGAGGTACTTCAGTCTGCCTACCCCTAAAATACTGTTCATAGGTTTCTAAACAGCACCAAAACAAGATTGTGATATTTTACTGTTTTCCATAAAGATTCAAGCAGTAATACAGAAACCATGCCACTACACGTGAATTACTAAGTGGGAAGTATCTGTAGGCACACTCTTCCTCCAGACGATGCTAGTTCTATTTAGCGAATTCCACATGCAGGTCAGTTGTAGCATATACGAAATTAATGAAAGAAGCCAATTCCTTCTGGTTCTTCTGTTCAACGCAATTTTAGTTTTATTCTACATGCTGGTCAAGCACAACTCAAGACAATCTGAATGCAAGGTACCAAGAGGGTGCTCGTTATTGAGGAATTACATAGCACAGAAGTGAGCTAGGTGTGGCCAGATCCATATTGCAAAACACTGGTTTGGAAAGGTGCCAAAACCTACCACAGGTTTTCATGCCCTGTAAGAACTCTTTAGGTGAGTAAAGAACGTGGAGTTCTTGAGTCATTTTTACAATATTTATTTTGAAAAAAAAAACCTAACCTGATCCGCACCTAGCTAATAAATCCTTAATGCTTCCATTATGTAGGTTGAAAGTGTACTTTGAAGGCTGGGAGACATACATATATCTGTCTCAATGCTTTCTGCAAACAGAGAGGTTGCTAATAGAGTGTCAAGGCTGTTAAAAACCATCTTTGAAGTAGATAAGAACATGAAATATTGTCAATCAAGCAATGCTGCCACATGACAAGAAGCAAAGCAATTTTACTTCCCCAAGTTTTACCCCTAAGAAACCAAAATGTTAAGAAGAAAGTCTTGATTTTGTTTAATTGTGCTGTAATTTGTTTTCAGAAAGCTTATTCTATAGCAAATTATGATTTGGGTCACTTGTGGGGAAAAAATAAAGTCGATACCTTCTGAATTGAATTCTTTAGATTCTTGGTGACTAGCTATTTCTGACTTCTGTTCAAGTTCAAAGATCCTTCTAAGCAGTCCCCTGACATACGCTTCACGTTGCTGGTCATATAGTAGCCACTGCTGGTTTTTCTCAAGAGCCTTCATGAAAAGGAACAGAACAACAACAAAAAAGCCTCTGGTAATTTATCAGATTTTGAAAGTATTAGTCTTATTAAAAATATTAAAAGTTATATATTATACAGTTTAAAGATAAGCTAGTTAATTCTGCTGCAAATTGTAGTAATCTTCTCTGTGCAATAAACAAAACCCATCTTCATTTGGAAAGGTAACTCAGGTTTTGAGTGTAAGCTAAAATTGCAGCAATATTAAATACTGATTGGCTTATTTCTTGGAATGGGAAAATTACTTAAAACCGAAGTTGTTCATGAATCATGCCCAGATTATGAAGAATTCACCTTTCAATGTCAAATATAAAATAATAGATCTTGAAAATGGAATAAACTAAGACTGTATCATTGCAAAATGAAGCTTGTAAGAAAAACATGGATTTTATATCCGATTGGATCATAGAATTATTTGGGTTGGAAGCGACCTCAGGAAGTTTCTAGTCCAACCTCATAATATCCTAGACAGAGTCAGCTTCAAGGTCAGACCAGGTTATCTGGGGCTCCTGCTGTGTCAGCAACCACTTTGTTCTGATGTTCCAAGCGAGGTTTTTCAAAGATGATAGAAATATTGTCTTTTCTTTTTTTTGCAAGTCTTTTTTTAAATTATTGTCTTGTCACAAAATAATTTTAGGTATTATATTTTAGAGGGAAACATATCCTCTGAGGTCCCATACTACCCAAAACCATATATGGTGACAATTTGATTGATACAGATGATTTATACTTGCAATGTTGTGCATGAAACTTACATCTTTCAGTTGGTTTTCAACTTCATGAAGACTAGTTGGTGATCCAGTGCTGTTTGTTACAGTTTCCTGCAGACAAAGAACAACCTGTTAAGTATTTTTTAAAACAGGTGCTGAAACAGTAGAACTAGTCCTGTATAACTATTAATCTCAGATCCTTTTTAAAGGATCTAAGTTACATAGAAAATAATTTCATGTATTTAAAATAAAATCTCCTGGAAGATTCCATAAGTCTGGAACTCATAGAGTATTATTTAAATACACAAAAAAGCTAAGTGTTTTTTCTGTTTTCGTATCCTCATACCAGTTTGACAATAAGCCAGATCTATAGGAGCTGCTGGGGAAAGCTACAGACCTTGACAACTTCGTTGGGACAACAGAAGGATTATGAACACCTGGGAAACCACGCAAGCCTGTCTGGAACCATAAGGATATACTGACTTGTTTTCTGAGACCTGATCCACAGCAGAGCATTTAAAGTATGAGTTAGAGACTTCTTTAGACCCATCTAAAACCAGAGAGCAGTTAAAAGTTACACTTCTTTCATAACCTGACATGTTTATTCACTGCATGATAGAAAGCTTTTTGAAATTGTGTAGCTACAAGTCAGAAAGAACTTTAAGGAAATCAAAATCACAGAATCACAGAATGGTCAGGGTTGGAAGGGACCTCTGTGGGTCATCTAGTCCAACCCCCCTGCCGAAGCAGGGTCACCTACAGCAGGCTGCACAGGACCTTGTCCAGGCGGGTCTTGAATATCTCCAGAGAAGGAGACTCCACAACCTCCCTGGGCAGCCTGTTCCAGGGCTCTGTCACCCTCAGAGGGAAGAAGTTCTTCCTCATGTTCAGACGGAACTTCCTGTGCTTCAGCTTGTGCCCATTGCCCCTTGTCCTGTCGCTGGGCACCACTGAAAAGAGCTTGGCCCCATCCTCCTGACACCCGCCCTTCAGATATTTATAAGCATTTATTAGGTCCCCTCGCAGCCTTCTCTTCTCCAGGCTGAACAAGCCCAGCTTCCTCAGCCTCTCCTCGTAGGAGAGATGCTACAGTCCCCTCATCATCCTGGTAGCCCTCCGCTGGATCCAAGCTGCATTTTTCAAAGTTTTCCTGTGATTTTTACAACATTGTTTAGAACGAGTTTTATAGCTGAAAAAACCACAGGAAATCTTTGAATGCAGTTAGTAAGCTTTAGCACTTCCTAACAAAAACAGGATTTAGAGACACTACAATTGCTCAGATTCCTATATCTATAAACATTACAACGCTGCCTCCATGAAAACGTTCCCAAAATTATGTCATACAACTGTTGTTTCCATTTCAGAGTATACCTGCTGCTCATACACCACCTAGCACTTTCAAGCAGCATTGCTAGACTTGATTTCAAGTTTTCCAAGACATTCAGTCAAAACATCAGTCAAATTCTGTTGCCTTCTGCTGATAAATCACTAAAAAATTTAAAAGAAAATTCTGATTTTAAACTAGAAGATATTTTGGTAGTTCATTGACAAAAATATCATGGAAATCCGTTGAATTCACATACATTTTAAATTCTCTAACAAAGTTCAAAGTCTCTTCAAATTGAAAATAAACACACTGCATTTAAAATTGTATTTCCTAAGATAATACATATATGTATCACTTCTAATAATGCAGTATCACTGAAAATTAGTAGATTAAGATATTTTGCTATGTATTTGACTAAAGCTGAATTTCTAGAAATTACTCAACTTCCCTTTAGAGCATGGGGAACCAGCACCATCTGCAGGTCAAAAGCTGGAAAAGACTTACAGGCACCTGCTTTTAGGCACCAACTTCCCTGTGCCCCTTACTGAAATACTATTGCATTTTCCGTGGAAAATCAGAACAGGCAGGGGCGGAAAAACAACTGTAGAAAACTGAACGCACTTGTAAAAGCTGCCAAGTACCTGGCACCATACCTATTAACCATTTTAAATGAGAGAAACAACTCATTATTCCTGTCGTATCTTCTATCATGTTGAAATATTTACCGTGTGTGATGCCATGTAAAGTACAGGCAATTAGTTTTAACAACCAAGGAACAAACAAGGATTCATAGGAGAAAGATATTCTCATGGCTGAAGCTGCATTAGGTGAGGAGCTGTTTGTCTTTATTAATGCCCCAGGTCTCTATTACTGCAGCCTTCTGAGGCTGTTTAATCATTGAGCATACAAATCTGAGGAGGGCATAATATCTGCTTAAGCAACAGTGGATCATTACATTAGTACCACTAGTCGTACCACCCGCACGTGAGCTTGAAAAAGGGACCTGGCCGTACAACATCAGAGAACTCTCCCCCCAGTTGCGTTGCCTGAAGTTGTGCTCCCTGACTGTTCTTCATTTAGCAGTCATTCTGGACATCATCTCTCTTCATACAAGAATATTTCAGCATGCAATGCAAACTGTAAGAAGAATAAAAATCCATCCCATTTTATAACAGGTACTGGTGCTTAGTGGGCGCATATTCCAAATCTAACCTGCAAACACGTTAGACCTGAAATTTGCAATTACTGTGTTTCTTCTGTGCTTACCTGGGATGCTTGAAGACTACCAGCTCTGTTTTCAAGCTCAGAACACTTTGCAGTAACAGTGGATAAATTACACTTTAACCGGTTCATTTCTTCTGATAGAGAACGAAGTAGCTGTTCTCGCCTTTCTGCTTCCTTTGTTTTTTCCTCTAGTTGACTTTGTAATGAGGAGACTTCACTATTCTTGGTTTTGGATCTAAGCTTGGCTTTCAGGTTTTGGATTTCTTTGTCCTTCTCTCCAAGAAGACGATTGTGTTCTTCTTTTTCTTTTTCAAGAGAAAGTATTTTCTAAATGAAACAGAATAAAAGTGTGTCTCAAATGAGTAAGTGTCAGCCTATGCAACAAATGCATTAGCAAGTTTACAACTGTTTGAGAACATACTAATTTTGAAGGGTTCTCTCTCAGCCTTTAGTTAGCTGAGAATAATACTTTTCACTCAGACAATACTACAGCGATCATCACAATGCTACAGTGATCATCTGAAATATTTCAAGTGACAGTAAAAACAGTCTGAAGTAGATGAAACAAGGAAAGAATGCAAAGAACCAAATTCCACAGACTTGGTAGGTACTTGGTTTTGTATACAATACAGATCACTACAATATATGAACTTTAAAAGACAAGCAGTACAAGAACTCTTGAACACTTTCAGTGAAGATGTTGGTGATAAATTTCTTAGCGTTCGTTAGCATATTTAGTAGCGTTTAAGAAGCAGCAGAGTCTTCTTGCAAACTAAATGACAATAAGTGAAGTTACAAAAGAGTTATAATAAAGCATTCAGGAAAAGGATCCTGTTTTCCAAATTATCTGGCCTTGTAGTTTCAAAATGTGCTTGAGTAGATATTGTCAAGAGGCACTCTCTTTTCAGGCAGCCTCCAGCACAGGTAATTATTACACAGCATGAATACTGCATTTGAGATACCTTGGGGTTCTCTGTAAACTTTTGTTAGGATAGCATTTCATTTTCCATGAGAAAGGTTGATGTTGAAATCCTACATGTTGATTATCAAGTCATTAGAAGATGACAGAGAAACTGAAAGAAATTGAATTTTAGAGAGCCTCATTTACGGAGTGGTGGAAAACCACACAGCGCTCACTAGAATTCAAATGTTGGCACCAAACAGTAGCAGGTACCTAGAATATCTAACCATGCCTGTGATTTTCCACCTGTAAACTAGGAACCCAGTACTAAGTAATCAACACTGAGCAAGCAGCAAACTCCACCAGACATAGCAAATACAGTAAGGAGTTGAACGACAACAGCACACGAGGTGTCTAGCCATAGCTGGTACTATGAGTCCATTTAAAGTTTCCCAGTCCTTCCAGGACGCCTGACACTACTTGACTTTGTCACATACCAAGTCTTGAATTTCTTTCTCTACAACTTCAGGTTTACCTTGAACGGACTACAAGGCATGGAAATTACAGTGTCCCAGTTTCTGCGCTTTGGTTGCAATGGAAGAATAATACAGTGAGTCAATCACAGTTTTATTTACCTACAGCTGAGTGGGAGCTTGAGGATATAGCTCAAGCAAATACCCAGCACTTTTTGGCACGTTCTTAGGCAACTGTTTGCAAACACAGCACTTTTTGCAGGAAAAACAATTCTCAGGGACCAACAGCCGGACCGGTGAGAACAGGTCTCACTGGACTAACTGGCACCTCTGGCCTCAAGTCCTTGTATTCAGCGGCCTTGCCAGATGGCTGTACCTGGATTAGCTCAGTCATCGCTGAGAACAAATAAGTGAAACCAAACCAGCAGTGACACCAACGCCAAGGGAGTTTCAAGAGGAAAGACGGGCACCTGGCGCACGCCGCCGGGCGCAGCGAGGAGATGGCAGACGCCAGCTCCAGCACACGCATCCACCTCACCTCCAGCAGCCGGTTCCTCTCCGGGCCGGACGCTTTGCTCTTCCCTTTCACGACCTCCTCCTCCTTCTCCTCCTCCCTCCCCGGTTCTCCCAGAGCCGCCTTCTCCCGCTTGCCCTTCTCGGGATCACGCTTAGGCCTGGAGCTACCCGACTTTAAGCCCCACTTGCCAATAATGAGATCTTTAGCGCTCTTGGAATTCATCGTTCAGCACCTACGAGAACCGCACCCTGGCGGAGGCGGGGGAAGGGGGGACCCCCCCCGGCAGCGGAGGCTCCCCGCTTCCGGGAGTTTGAATCCCGCGGCTCCGCCATCGTCACTTCCTCCCGGGCCGCCCCACAACCGAAGCGAGCAGTACGGCGTCTCCTCAGGGTCAGAAAAGGCGGGGGGGAGGAGTGAAAGAACGCTTCCGCGAGGACGCTGGCTAGAGCGGGCTGGGCGGGGCACGAGCTGCCCGGTGTTGGGTAGCACTGCCCAGTTCTCCGCGGAATGCTTGAGAGGAGGCTCCGCATTGGCAGGCGTGGGTGGCCGCGTGACCTGTCTGGCCAATGCCATGGGGCCTTTCTTCTCCCTACCTCGTTTTTGTGCCGCAGGGCACGTGCTGGCGGCGGGCAGGGGTGAGGCGCGGGGGTCACCCC